CATTAAGAGGGAGCAGAGGAAAAATTCCTAATCTTCGATTTGATTTTAGAGGGGTATATCCACTTTAAAGATAAAAATAAAATATTGTATGAGTAACTACACGATATATTCAAGTATAGACATTAATCAGAAACATAAAACAATAAAGTTTCCTCGATAGATAAAAATCACGAAGTGGCCTCTAATTTTCACATTTTTTCGATTTATCCTCGAAATGCTACAGGTTATTAGGACAAAAATTTGATAATTAATTATATTTATGCATGATCGACAACTGTCACTACGGATTTTTTTTAATCCCTTTAGTTTTAGAGATATTCAGCTAAAACGAATTTGGTACTTTTAATGCGCAAAATTCAACATCTCCCGTCGGATGTCACGCGAACTTCAGGCATATATTTGTTTCACAAATTTGGGCGGAGCCAACGTCAAAACTTTTTTGGCATGAGAGCTCTTAACGTCATCATCATTAAATTCACTGTGAATATTTACGCGCGACTAAATCACTGTCGATACACTATTGTTATGATAAACGATTTTATTATTATTGCTTAGTTATCATTACGTCTGGCACAGTTTGCTAGGAGACGTCGCGTCGGTTCGAATCCGGCAAGATCGATGGAATTTTTTCTAAGTTTTTTTAATAATTATAACAAAACTAGTGGAATAATTTCACAAAAAATAATTGAATATCTTGGTGGTCACATTCTGACAATCAATAAAAATTTAATAAAACTATTGACATAAAAATTTAGAGTGACGTCCCTTCGCTATTACTCAGCAAGCACACAATCGAAGAAGAGGAATGAGAATCGAGAGCAGATCTAGATTTGGGAAATAACACAGAACTGTCACTAGTTGAACCGACAATCTGACATGCTCGAAGATAAACATTAGACATATAGCTGCTTTTTAAGAAAAGAACAAACTACTTAATTTTGTTCTATGACCAGAGATCAGGGTAAGCTGACATTTACCTTAACATCGAGTAGTAATACACATAGAGTAGACAATACATCCATCTGAAATCTAAAAAGAATTTTTAAGTTTTCGCGATTGTTACACATGGAGAATTATTGCTATTAAATGCTATTCTAGAAAGTCATTGGAGCCCAGCGAAAAGGCGTAGAATAAACAAAATGAAGAAGCATTATGAACCTGTATATTTCCAGCTTCTATTGTGGTGCTGCACTCGACACGTCTTTGGCAAAACAGACTTTTGTGTGATATACAAGAGCCCTGATAATATGTTGTCATGAACATTTGCTGGTGCTAATGGAATATTAGATGATTATTTGTGCACTTCATTACTTAAAGGTTGTTTTGTGGTTTCATCTGAGAAGGGGGTTACTCCATATACACTTGTTAAAGGGTTGTAAACTTTCTTCGACTTGCTGGTTTTATCGAGATGTTTTTCTTCATTGTTAGCGAGAAATATTTATTTATTTACTTAAACTTTATTGTACAATATACTGAAGTACAAATGGCAGATTTAATGCCGTATGGCATTTTGTACCAGTCAACAATTGGGCCAAACAGAAAACGCAATAGGTTGGTATACTTGTACAAGAAGAATAGAACACTAGAAAGCTAATCGATAATTTATACGATATAAAATAGATAACATAATATTAACATACTTATTATACGTACATAATAAACTTACATATACATTATAATAATAATTAATATAATATAATATAATATGTACAAAAAGCAACATTATACAGAGTCTTGATTTTGACAATTGTCAAACAGATGCTAGCGTAACATGCGCTTGAAAGATAGTTTGGTCTGAGCTGGTCTTACATGGAGCGTGAAGGCATTCCAAAGCCTTGGAAGGGTTGCATACAGGGTAAAAAAATTAGACAAAAAATCAGTACGATGAGAAGTAATAGAGATCTTAAGGCTACGGAAAGATCGAAATTCGCATCCCGGTCGAGCGGTTTGAAATTGAAATAAACATCTAAGATAATCAGGTGTAGCCAAGATCGAGAAAAGAGTGGTTAAAATTCTTAATGATCTGCGTTCACGGATGAGAAGCCGATTTAGTTGACGACGAAAAGCAGAGATGTGTTCATACTTACGTACAGACCAAAAATAAACCTAATGCAGTTAAGAAGACTGTCTAATCTGTTCAAAGAGACTTGGGAGATGTTACTGTAACACACGTCAGCATAATCAATCCTGTGATTGATGAAGTTCTAGTGTTGCCTGTGCAACACTAGAGCTTGAACAAGGAGAGTTTTCGTTTTAATAATAATACTGATACTTAACATACACAAATGTAAGTAACTATTGCGCCACAGGACTTGAACCTCTCAATTCTACTTTAAATTACTTTGTGATAATATTTTGCATAAACTTGTACAAATAAGTAACAATTCCTAACAGCAAAAAGTTGTTAGAAGAAGAAATCGACCTATTGTTTGGTTACAAAGAGGCGTATCTATCGTATCAAAACAAAACACTGTACTCAAGTCCCAGTACATATTTTTGTAATCTCATAAAAACAACAAATTTCGTAGCATATTTTGTTAATGCCGTTCTTAAAGTCAATTATAATGACTGAATAGATTCTTTAATATCTCATATACAAAATAAATTAAATGTATATCGAGTTCTTAGGTTTTCGCGATTGTTACACATAGGAAATGAAACTATTTTTCCGGATTTAAATCGCGTATATTTGTTTTTTCAAACAAACCGACGTTTCAGGCCCTTTACAGGTCCCATGGTCACGGTAGACTGAGGTGGTACAGTCTTCAACCAGTTATGTCTAATATTGATGCAAACCACCCTATTTTTTCACTATAGTTACAATAGTTATTAATTAAATACCTTATTTTTAATTTTACAAAGAAAACATTCCAATTTACGCTATATTAACTTTTACAAATTATTTTATTGAATAAATTTTTATTAAGTTCAATTTATTATTAATTATTAATAGAAATTAGAATAAACTAAAACATATTAATTAATACTGCAGTCTTATGTCTGTTTGGGATTTTTATCAGAGGAAATACTGGATCCCAAACTGGTGGTACGGAGAAACCATCTTCCCTGTTGAAATTAGGATGTTTTTTAATTTCAATGGCCTTGAGAACGGCAATGACTTCTATTGCAAGGACCTGGGGTTTGTCAAACTTCATTGAATGTGTATGTTTATCCATGACATGCTCGCAGACTGCAGACTTATTTCCGCGACGGTGTTTGACATCAGCTATATGTTCTTTGACGCGGGTACAAATACTTCGCTTTGTTTGTCCAATATAAGAGAGACCGCACTCACAGTCAAGCTTGTAAACTCCTGCATCCTGTAAGGGGATGTTACATTTCACGGGTCTCAGGAACTGAGAAATCTTCCTCAGGGGCTTGAAATAGGTCTTGATAGATGCGCACCTGAGGACTCTTCCGATCTTGTCTGTAACACCTCCCACGTCAGGTAAGATGGCAGGTCTTCGCTCGACTTTTTTGTTCAGTTTGTTTGAAAAAACAAATATACGCGATTTAAATCCGGAAAAATAGTTTCATTTCCTAAATTAAATGTATCTTTTATATTGTTAACATGGAAATTACAAAAAACAGAATTTTGTTTTTACATCATTTTCTCAAAGTGCCATTTTTAGTATTGCAGTGTCTTTGTTTGACACGGTAGTATGTTTCTGTAGAACTTGGAGTCTGGTTGAAACTTAAGCTCAAGGTGTGAGCTCTGTTTTATGAGCCGACAAACATACCACCTGTGAAGGTGAGTTATTGTAATGCATCCTGACACTCTATTTATCACCGAACACCCGTTATACGTACACCGCGCCATCTGAAGTAGGAAGTAATTGCATTTGATTTGATAAACGCTAATCTTACTTAAAGGGGACAAGTATAACAGGGGACCGTTGTGATGTGGTTGATGATCTGGTGGCTAGGAGAGAAAAGTTTGATCATAAGGAAAGGATGGATGTTAATAGAATAACGGCACAAAGGACAATGACCGATGCAATATGGAGGCAGGCCCAAACCTTCAACCAGCGTGTTCATTAGCCTACTTAATAATAAAAAAACTACTTTTCCTAACCTATGACTGTCTGAACAAACTTAGAATCTCAGTACAGAGTACTAAAAAAACCGACCTCAAAAGTACGTGGAATTACGTCTATTTGATAAGTTTTATTGAAATATCCCCTAGTTCGCCACTATACAGGACTTGACACTGGAGATAATAAAAATCAGTTCTGACTACTCAAAGTATATTGAGAGAAAAACGCCTTGTATTGGAGAAATAGCAAACCAACCATTAAAGTAATTGCTCCTAAATTAAAGTTAGGCGCTATTTATAAAAATGAATCTTCATGCGTGAACAGCCACCCTTAAAGGTGGATGATTTTCTTCAAAATGAAATGTGACCACTATGAAAGTACCCCCATTTCCAACAAAAAAAGAATCATGAAAATCGGTTCACAAAACCGGAGTTATCGCGTAACATATGTACAAAAAAAAGAACATACAGTCGAATTGAGAACCTCCTCCTTTTTTGAAGTCGGTTAATAAAATTACATTCCATATATAAAGTATATTGTTAAAAATACTCACTCTTTTGTTGAAAGACCAAGTACAAAGACACAACGCAAGCACATAGAAAAATTCGTGAGGTCCGTTGGTTCGTTCCGTGGCTTAGTTGGTATAGCGTCTGACACGGTATGCAAGAAGACGTCGGTTCGAATCCGACCGGATCGAAAGAATTTTTTCTGAGTGTTTTTTCTGAGTATTCGATCTTTGTATTAATAATTATAACAAATATTGTTTTAATTAATGTAGGATAAATAAAAATAGGAATTTGCTGGACATGCTAAGTAAGATGAGGACAATGACGGTTATCATCATTTTTAGAGTGAAATTAAAATTAGTGGTAAACACCCCCAACCCCGGTACACATATCAACCAAATTTATTGGAGAGGTAAAGATAATTCCACCTTAAGGAAGAAAAAGAAATACTACTTACCACAGATCTCACCATCAACTCAATAGTGAACCACACGTTACAAATCAGTTCAATGTAGAAGAATGCTTCATGTGGCTGTCCATTGTCTTCCCAGGGGTCTCTGAATTGATGTTCTATCGTAAAGTTGTAGGTACTGTTGTCTGTTATTGATACAAGCGGAGGGTTGGGCACTCGTAGGTCTGGATGCGTTTTCAGACAGAAGGATAGAACTGATATACAGATGAAGAACACCGATATTGCCGATATCACCTGTGGGAAAGAGAAAAATTTATTATAGTCATTGTTTATTAAACTTTAGGATAAATCACATTTATTTTTTGATTTAATTCCGTCTTCCCCTTTCGCTTCCACATATATATTATTATGGCGAACGGCTAAGGAATTAAATTCCCTGTTTGCAGACTTGTTCCCTGAATGCTATAAATTGGGCCTTTTCAAAACGGGAGTGAATAGGCATTATGTAGGTGTGCATGCTCTATCGTCGACCTCACCGTCACTTTCCATCAAGTGGAGGTCTAATGTGCACTTATAAATTTTATAAAAAAACAAACTTATTTCATAGGTAAGTTGTTTAAAACTTTAAAACTACATTTTTGATAATAGTCTAGTAGCTAACCCATCAAATAATTTATATTTAATGCTCAATGTTGCCAGATGTGTGAGTTGCAATATACCTTATTTTTAAGGAGAAATTTCGGGGGGCACGACTAGGCGGAAGAGTTGCCCCATTGAAGCGCAGTTGTGTATTTTTTCCCAACGTACAATGTAATTCTGTAAGTTTGTTCGATTAGACAGTCAAAGGATAACAAAAGTTTTTATGATTAAATGTATAGAAATCCGCTGCTTTAAATGAAAATCGAGGAATAGATTCAGAATCTGGTTTTATCGGTCATCGACCTTTACAACACCCAAAAGTTTTTGAACACTTTTCGTTGTAATAGCATGTACTGCCTTTAATTTGGAATGTGTGGGCAATAATAATTATAAATTTATTTCTCTTCACATATTTTGGTTACAATTTTTGGTACAAAAACAGTATTTTCTAAAGTGACAAACTTTGTAGGAGACTGGAATCTAAACTATATCAGAGTTCTGTGTCTTAGACTTCCAGACTCCCCAACTCAAACAGAATGCCATTACAATTTACACCAATTCTAACAGAGATGTAATGAAAAAATTCTAAACTATACTATAAATAAAAATAACTAAGTGAACATGTATTTAGAACAGTCGTGTGTGGCTGTGTGTATAAAATATAATACCCCTGGCCAGAGGCGGCTCGTGCAAGATTTCAGTGGGAGTTCACTTACCTATACATATTCAAACTAAAAAAAATTACGTACCTTTATTTGTACATGAAGTCCATGCGCCTGTCTTTTTGGTGTGAGAAAACATCGATTACTTTTTTGTGAAAGTCTGATATGGTGTTGATGAGGCGTCTTTCGATACTTATCATACACAGAGCGTTAAGGCGATCTTGTGACATGGTATTTCGTGTAAATGTCTTAATTTTGTTCAAAGTGGAAAAACAGCGCTCACTTTCCACCGAGGTCATAGGGATTGTACAAACAACTTTTAGTAATTTAATACTTTCACAAAATACTGTGTCTAATTTAAATTCTATAAAATGTTGAAGGATTGAAATGGCACCATCGGCATTGTGAAAATCTTCTCTGCTGTAAATTACTAATAACTCATTTTTTAATCTAGTTTTCTCGATAAAATCATAAGTTTTGACGACTTTATTGAAATCATTTTCTGGAAAGTTCGCGTGATAGTCCGCGAACTTGTCTGTATTAAATAATTTCGAAGCCAATAAATGGTCTGTATATGCAAATCTGTCTTTGATCTGCATTCTTACGACGTCACATACTTCCTTTCTCATGACTGAATGCTTCACGTTACCAGGTCGACGTTTTTTCTTTGGCGAAGGTGGTGCGTTAGCATTCCGCAAATCATTTATAACGTTCTCAAACTTATTAATTTCACTCATAATTTTAATCGAATCAATGGACCGCGACTGCAAACATTTGAATAAAATTTCACAGTGCGGCACTAGTGTCGCGAAAAAGTTCAGCCAATATCCGAAATCGTCATTGTTCAAATATGAGAGGAGCATCTGAGCTTGATTAAAAGTATTGTGATCACTACTAGTATCGACCATTATAGCTTGCATACACTCTTTCAGGGGCTCTAAATTATCGTGTATAACTTGCACTGTGCGGGTATTGTAATTCCATCTTGTTTGTGGAGCGGCAGGAATTCTTCGGTGGACGATTTCTTTTAAAAAATCTGATCGTTTCGAAGACCGCGTAAAAAAAGTCGGAAATGCATGTAGATTGGAAAAGAAGCTGCGTACAGTATGATTAATTGACGCGCACCTTTCCAATATCAAGTTCAATTGATGAGCGTAGCAGTGGACATAAAAAGCATACGGGTAGGTATTTCGTATAATCTTTTGAACACCATTTGTACTTCCACTCATGACCGCAGCTCCATCGTAACTTTGTCCAATCAACTTTTTTTTATCAATCTGCATAGAATGCAATTCTTTTAAGATTTCAGCCGCAATTACTTCTGCTGTAAAACCTTTAGGTTGCAAAAATTTTAAAAACCTCTCATAAACTTTGCCATCATGTATATATCTTATAATAAATACTAGTTGTTGAATCGTAGAACAATCAGTTGATTCATCTGCTTGAATTGCTATAAACTCAGATTTTTTTATCTGAATCTCTATTTCATTCTTGCAAACTTCATAAATAGCATCTAAAATATCATTCTGAATAGATTTAGACGTGCCCTTAAAAACCGAGCTGCCGGTTAAATGCTGCTTCATGGCTAAGTCGATCTCGGAAACGAAATCAATCAACCCTCTATATATTCCAGGATTCAGGGATTCTGTGGATTCGTCATGCCCCCTTAAAGCAACTTGAAATGCTCCACAAAATACTACACAATCTATTAAACGTCTCAAAATATAACGATTTTGATCAACACGTTCATTGAATTCTCTAATAGATTTTCTGTAAGCTGAATCGAGCGCCTTGCGAATATCCAGACGTCCTATCGATGCCAACTGCACTTCATTTAACATATGAGGACGAGATTGTGAATGTTTTTTCACTTTTATAGAAAGATGCGCTAAATCGTCAATACCTGTGTCTGTCCATGCAGATTCACCGCCGCCGCCTCCAAACACAAGACACGGAAAACAAAACAATTTATTAGTTTCTGCACACCCACATAACCACGGTGTTTTTGTATATTGCTCAGTTTTAAAGACGCGAGTGTATTTTTTAGTTTTTGTGCTACATTGTTGTGATAATGCAATTTCAGGGCGAGGTGGTCCCTTTGATTTTAGTTCAAGTCGTACCTCTAACGTCTTTTCACAATTTTTAATGAAACTCACACTGTATTGCTCCATTTTAAACAATGCCACAAAACAACACTAAGCTTCTTAACTTAATTGAATAATATTATTTTTTACAACACAAAATGCGCGCGAAGAAATGACGGTTTGTTTATTTGACTGAACAACAAATAAAACTGGCAACGCGGAGGCGGAGTGCAGAATCGCCTAGTCGTCGCATCTGGCATGTACAGAACGGCAACGTTACGCGGAGCGCCGCTCAAATCTTGCTAATTTTCTCATACATTTGTCACACTAATCTTTTGTTTCACGTGTCGTGCCGTAAAGAAATGTCTCTTTCGCACTCATTGAATTCAGTACTTAACTTTGTAAACAACTTTGGTTCATAGGAGCGTATCGCGGAGCGCTCCACTCAAGGGTTAGTAGTGCTATACTACGATATTACAGAGAAAGATAAAAATCTAATTGTATTTTATCGTTCATTAATAAAAAAAATAGTGCGGCTACTAGTCTAATATGAAAGCTCGATTAATAATTTTATTTTGATGGGTTGAATAGGAGTGGGAGTTCACTGCACCAGCGCTCCTTAGGACGAGCCGCCACTGCCCCTGGCTAATAGTGAAGTTAAAAATAGTGATGATATCTCCACGGTAATACTACAGGCTGCTATATCGTTTCTTTTTAGGCAGCCTTCTGATACAATATTAGGAGTTTAAAATAAATACGGAGTTGATTATTTTATAATGGCGGCAGTACACGTTACGTTTTACCGGAGAGGTCTACTGTTGCAGGTGTACCTGCGCAGGTAAACCGGAACATGTGTTGGAACACATCTGTGCAGTTCAGTGTATTTGCACAGACAGACCTCTCCGGTAGACCGTAACGTGTATGGTTATCATAAGTAACAACACCAAAGGAAGAACGATTTCGAATTTCACGTTGTCCCTGAGCGTACTACTGAAAATTAAGAAAGATGATTTGATTTTAAACGTAAGTACGCGTCGCTAAATTACATAAAGAAAGTAAGCTACTTCAAGCCATGATGATTCTATTCAAACTAATGTATACGTAACCAACGAAGCAAAAGGGAGAAAAGATGTAATTAAGAAGTCAAGAAAGCGTCTCTTGACACGTCTTTTGAAGGAATCTACGAAAGGCGATTGTCAAATAGGTTCAGAGACGGAATTTCTTAATCAGATAGCACAGACGATACAAAAGATCGTGTTAAATCAGAGGTACAATTATTAGAATCATTGTAATTATCTCGCCTGGAGGTTTTCGGCTAGTTTTTTAGTTCAAGTCACTCAGCGAGGTAAATCATCTATCTCATAGGTAAAATTTTTACAATTGAAAACGTAATTTTTGAAGCTACTGCTCGTGCCGACTTCGACGATAGACAATGACAATGACAACGACAGTGACAATGACAATGATAATGACAAGGGCAATGACAATGACAATGACAATGACAGTGACAATGACAATGATAATGACAATGACAATAATATGAAAGGTTGTTGATGTATGTGAGGCTCGAAAGTTGTGTCAGGATAGAGTAGGGTGGCGTTACGTCGTCTCTGCCTACCCCTTCTGAGGTATAAGGGCGTGAGCTTATGTATGTATGTATAATAATAAGTTTAATATATAATAATACTGCCTTCGGAAGAAAGAATGGCACAAACAGCAAATTCTAAATTCGTAGATAAATGTGTTTATTCATGTTTTAAATACATACCACATGCTTCATACATAAACTTTCATTGTGTTATATTCAGCCGTTTTTAAAAACGCCTTGAACTGTTTTAATTTTTTTTTAAATATTATAACTGCATACAAAGAGCGTCGCTAATTAAAATCTGACTTTTAATACCTTGAC